TGGGTTACTACCCAGAAGGCTGGGTTAAACATTTAACCCAACCGCTGGGTCAAAACAACCCAATTGCTGGGTTTGTCCCTATTTTACCCAGCACTGGGTTGTATTTAACCCAGCATTTTTTAGAGTGTAGCATCAGTTGTAATTGAAGAAGTAGTATTTAGTCGGGTACCATTCATGCAAACCAGTGAATGAACACATTCGGTGAAAATATTGCTTTAGGTTATGTTTTATATGGTTCTCAGTTTGTTTTGCTAAGGAAAGGTGTATTTAATGGGATAGTTCAACTGAAATTGACAATTCAGTCATTATTTGCTCACATTGGTATTGTTCTAAAGCAGTATTACCTTCTTTTTCTTTTTTTAAGCACAATGAGCAGATAATGTTTTATTTCTTTTATTTTAAAGCATAAAGCATTTTTTTAATTATTATTTTTTATTTATTCTAAAGCATTTGAAAGGGTTTGTCAAAAAAAAGGACATTTATTATTTAGCAAAAATCCTTAACTTGGTTGTCGCTCTACTATGTGTCACTTCTCATTTTTATGAGAGTGCAGATGTGCACCAAATTTTCTGTGACAGGGTTGAACTAGTAACTCACTAATCAAATATTAGGTGGATGACAATTACATAGCAATACGTCTGCTGACTGACTGAAGAATTTTGAAACATGCTGTTTTGTAACAGACCACTAGAGGACAGGAGAGCTCTCTCGGAGACAATATATTTCAAAATGAAGATTTTGATTCTAATCCAATTACTACATACACCATTGCTGTATTTCTTTGTCCTGCAGTTCTGGCCAAGCAGACTCAGGAGTAGATCTGCTCAGTCAGGATCTGCTGGCAGACAACAGGTGAGAGAGGCTGAATGCACCTGTGATTATTATTGAAATTATTTTAGATCCCCAGAGGAGTGTAATATGCAAAACAGAGGCTGTGGTCATTCTATAAAATAGATGCCTCATATACATGTGTACAAAATGAGTTGAAGCTTGATTCTGAGGCTAAAATTGAAGCAAAAAAATTAGTGTTGTCAAATGATTAATCGCGATTAATCGCATCCAAAATAAAAGTTTTTGTTTACATAATATATGTGTGTGTACTGTGTATATTTATTATGTATAAATAAACATACATGCATGTGGGTCAAAGACGAAAAAGGGTTTAAGCATAAAAACAAACTTACATTTAATGTGCTTTCTATTGACATAAAATCACTTTTGTAAATTTATTTTGATGCGGACATCTTAACGTCTTTGACCCATGTATGTATATATATATATATATAAGAAAAATTTTATATTTGTATATTAAATATATTTTTATATAATATCAATTATATAAATATATACATGTAAATATTTTCAAAATATATATTGTATGAGTGTGTATTTATATATACATAATAAATACACACACACACACACACACATTGACAGCACTACAAAAAATAAAACATTTTGTCTTTATTATCTATATATTTTTAGATTTTTGGATGTAATTCTAAAATGTAATTCATTATATGCTGGTGGAATGACCTGCCCAACTCAATCCGAGCAGCTGAGACCTTAGCCATCTTCAAGAATCGGCTAAAAACACATCTCTTCCATCTTTATTTGACCCTCTAACTCTAGCACTCTCTATTCTAATTCTATTCTTAAAAAAATGTCCCTTTTAGACTTGCACTCTATTCATTTACTGCTTGTTTACTTTAAAGTGCCCCTATTATGGGTTATGAAAGGTTCATATTTTGGTTTTGGGAGTCCCCAACAACAGATTGACATGCATGCCAGGTCAAAAAACACTTTCATTGTCTTATAATATAAATAAATTTTTTACCTTATTTGCTCAAGGACTCCCAAGCGATTCGCTCAACAAATCTGCGGTGATTGGTCCGATTGTTCTCATTTTTATTTCATAATGCCTAATAAAGCAGGTTTGTGAGCACAGTGCTGCTTTGTGTACAGCGTTACCGGGGAAACCGCTATTTTTACCGCTCCAAAAGCGGCACCTAGTGGCAAAGAATGAATTAGCATTTTTATTCAGACCAATGCGAAAAGACCAACAAGTGGGCGGGCAATATGCTAATGTTAATGTTGAGGTCAACATGAAACGGCTTGGGATTCGTTTTGAAAACGACTAGTTTCAATGATTCAGAGTCGACTCTTTCTTTTGAGAGACAATAACTTTATACACGGTGCACTTTCAGATTTTAAACTTGGCAGGATGTTTTCATTCACTTAGAGCTGTGTTACACACTGCATGAAAGGTCATTTTTAAAAATCCATAATAGGGGCACTTAAAAAAAAACTAACTAACACTAGTTTTTCTAATCTTTTTGTATTCTATCTGTTTTCTTTTGATTTATTATGCAATTAATAAAAGCAAAAAAGGCTTCTAACACTAGCTTGCTCTATTCTTTTTCTATTCTATCTGTTTTCTTTTTTTTTATTATATAATAAAAAAAAAAACCTTGCTACGTGTGCTGCGTTAAGCTAACTGAGACTTGTTATAGCACTTGAATATCATTGCTCTTTTGTTGATTTTGATTGCTTCCATTGTCCTCATTTGATAATTTGGATAAAAGCGACTTACAAAATCTGCTAAATGACTAAATGTAATGTAAATTATATACATATTTTTATATAAACTTATGTTGTTACCAAAGTCAACTATAATTTTCCCATTTTTTAACTCTATAATTCACTTTGAGCACAAGGTTTGTAATGCCAAATTAAACAGTAAAACTGGTAAACCCGTTACTGTCAACCTTACTAAACACTTAATTATATCCCAACAAACGGTATATTACAGTATATTCATTTAGCTTGAGATGGCACAATGCAGTTTTTTAACACTTACAGTCTTACACAAATGTTAATGTAAATTAATTTTTTTACTAAAAACAGTCAAACTGGAAGAGGCACGTGTATAGGATCAGTTGTTAAATGATCTGGATATTTCCCCTCTAGTTCTCTGCCTCAGACTAACAAGGCACATACAACTCTGGACCTGCTCGCAGATGATCTTATTCCCTTCAATACTACTACCACCAGGTGATTTTTTTGTCCTCATTTATTCTTTATTCATAGAACTGTCATTTCTTAGTTTTGAAGAATACACATGGCATGCAGTTTTTCAAAAATGTTTATATTACTATAGTTGTTTGTTATATATTACCACAGCAACTATAGAATTACCACAACAAATTAATTCAAGTACTTTACTATAGTATGGTCCAAAAACACTATAGTATTTACTATAAATTTCCCACATGAAAAAATACTATAGTAATTTAGTAAATGCTATAGTGTTTTTGGACCATACTATGGAGGGACGTTGGCCCTCCAGGAGCAGGACTGGACACCCCTGACATAAAGGGTTCTCATTGGTGTCAAGCAAGCAGGTTTGAGCTTCAGTTTTCAATATGCGATTTGCTCTGTGTTTGAGATGTCATGTAAATCACCCAAATATACTGTAAATTAATACTTACAATCTTTTTGCTTTGTTACGAGATGGTAAATGTGTTGATCACAGTATATGCTACAGCCTTCAGGAAAACTGTTAATGTATATATTTTTTAATATACATTATCATTTGACATCATCCCATGGCTCCCTTTGGAAGAGACCAAACAAAAAAGATATTTATATATTTTAATGCACATTAGTATACATATGACATATGTTTATAAAGATATTACACAATGATTTAATATTTGATAAAATATTCAATATGGAGTAATGATTAACGTTTAATATTAACTTCCAGACACAATTTGTGAAAACATGGGAAGAAATCTGACTTTCCAAACTTAATATCTCATTGAGGTCCTGATGTTCCCTAAAGAGGAAAAATAAAAGTCTTTCTTGTTCATGTTTCCAAAGAAGATATTTTTAAAATGGGGTTAACAAGCATTTAACTGTCCGGTCTGGCCAAATACTCATGTATTGGTCACAAGGGCAAAACTAGCTTTTCCTGTTTAGCATCTGATTTCATAATAAAGAAGCAGAGCACTGGAGCAAAAGATACAGGGCAGGTTTAACAGCTAAATAAGTATAGCCCTGCTTTAAGTCCTGGGTTACTCATTGTTTCTTAAAAGATCTTTCCTGAAATAGTGCCTTGACAAAGACAAGTGCTTTAAAAATGCTGCATGTCTCTACATTTTCACCCTTTACGTATGTCCCCCACAGTCAAACAACAGAGCTTATGATGAACATAAGTACACGAGACCCTTCAGCTGTGCATGGTGCATCAGAGATCACACGCTTTGTTGTCCGAGACAAGATTTCTAACATAATGACTATTTTTGTCTTATAGTTACAAAACCAGCATCAAAACAGTGGAGAGTTCTGTCCAGGAGAACTTACCAGAATCTGAATCCAAGAAGTATGTGGGAAGATGTTATTCCACTGAATAGTTTATCCTGATTCATTTAACCGGAACGTGTTGTCCTGTTGAGTGCCTGATCTCTTTTGTTTTCTCTTTTCAGGAACTTTGTCTATGTTAAGGAGTATGTGAATAACTCGCGTCTTGATGGCAGGTAACTTGGAGGCTTTATATGTGACCCTGGAGCACAAAACCAGTCATAAGGGTCAATTTTTCGAAATTGAGATGTATACATAAGCTGAAAGCTGAATAAATGAGCTTTCCATTGATGTATGGTTTGTTAGGATAGGACAATATTTGGCCGAGATGCAACTATTAAAAAATCAAAATATTGAGAAAATCGCCTTTAAATTTGTCCAAATGAATATTACGAATCAAAAATTGAGTTTTGATATATTTACGGTAGGAAATTTACAAAATATCTTCATGGAACATGATCTTTACTTAATGTCCTAATGATTTTTGGCATAAAAGAAAAATCGATAATTTTGACTCATACAATGTATTTTTGGCTATTGCTACAAATATACCCCAGCGACTTATGACTCCTTTTGTGCTCCAGGGTCACAAATTCTTAGAATCATTCTCTGCCGTTATAGTTATTCTGCCAGAATTTGCTCCGTAAGATCAGCTGCTCTCAATTGGTTTGCTTTAGGACCCAGATTTAAGACTCAACGTAAGAACAACATTGCTTACATACTGTACAATACAAAAGTAATACGAATATTCCAAAAATAAGCACTGAAATGAATTAACATGCCCTTGAACTGCATAGACTCTCTGATATGTGAAGCGGACCCTCAAGGGACTAATGATGCACAAAATACAACTTGACTGTGTGATGAGGATCTGGAGGACAGACCTGTCACCTTTTTTATTTTATTTTTGTAACTGATGTAAAATAAGTGCAGTGCAGAGATACTGTGCGGAAGGTTATGGAATAGTCATCTGTGGATCAGTACAATGTCTTCAACCACAAAAATGCTCTGTCTTCCTTTTTATAGCAGCTCTGACTATGTGTCATCAACAACCTCCAACTACAGCTACAGCAGCCCCAGCTACTCCTCCAGGTGACACGTTTAGATATCTCACATGACATATGACGGGTACACAGCAGCCCCAGAAACAAGGACACTTCATTCTGTACTTATAAACGTACACAAAAGCACATTCATACATTTTGGGGCAAATGTATATGGGCCATTCTACAGAATTCTACAGAAAGTCAGAGTTGGAAATGTCTTGAAAAAAAAAAAGTCAAATTGTATAATATCCGAGGTACACATTTCTAGTAATTGTGCAGTTAATTCTCATATTGTATTTTCAGAAAGTTTTGGAATATTTGTCCTCTCCCCAAATTTGTCACTATACCAAAACACAGTAATAATAATTTAATTAGAAGGGTTATATTGACCTATTAAGATTTTGCTAAATTTTTGTAAATTTTTTGCTATTTTATTGAAAATTTTCAGAGGTAAATCAATAACAATTACATTTTTTTAACAATATTTCAAGTGTAATTTATAAGATTTGTAAATTACAACAATTTTTCTTTGTAAAAGGCAAAAAGTCGATCATACTGATTTCAACATTAAGGATTCGTTAGTTTGAATATTCATTGAACCAAAAACTATCATAACATCTTAGTTGTTAATTCAGTATACTTTATTTTTGGCAAAACAACCCATGTTTCGGTAGTGACTGCACATTTTTGGTAGCAACCACATCACATTACAGAATTTTAACTCGCATATTAAAACACTACTGAAACGTACTAAAATACAATGCATAATGTACTAAATTTTTGTTTATTTCCCCCAGATATGAGGATTATGTGCTCCCTTTTGTCACTACCGAAACAATGAAGACATGTTTCGGTCGTGACAATTCTATGGGATAACACCCCCCAAAAAACCCCAAAGATGTCACTACCGAAACTCCACCAAATATTTCGGTAGTGCTTTTGAACCTAGCTCAAAGATGCTAATCAGCACATGGTTAGCTAGCACAGTTCTGAACAGTGGTATACATATAAAAACGAAATGTTATGGAATAACTCCCAAAAAAGTGTGCTTAATTGCAGAAAAAAGGTGTTCGGTAGTGACATTCCTTAAAGTTACACACAGATTTTTCAGCCTTTTGAACACATTTACCTCAAAATGATGATACCTATCTACTCACACCTTGTAGCAATGAGAGAGGGGGACACAGGAATATTTCCTGATCTTAAATTTAGGGGTGTAGTTAAAATCTCGGCCAATAGACTAAAACACGCACTGTTTCGGTAGTGACATGAAAAGTGCAGGACACATTTTTTTTAGTTTCATAATTTACAAAGAAAATATAAAATTAATATTTTTTGAACTTCACTTTTTAAAAGAATCAAAAAGATACTTTTAAAAACAACAATGGAAAAAAATACAAAAAATAATTTCAATATCATTTTCATAAGTTGAAATTTAGGGGTTAGGGTTCGGGACAGCCACCTCCCAACTGAAAGTACCCAATAAATGATGACTTTATATATTAAGCTTACAAATATTTTAAATATTATTGTGGGTTTCAATAGATAATAGAAGGATCTTAGTAAACATCTAAGATTTGAATGCTTAAATGCTTTTTAAATGTGTTTTTTGGCTGTGGGACAGCAGTTTGCACCGATTCTGTAGAATGGCTCATATACGGACAAAAGTACTGGGACCCCCCCTTCGTTCCGTCCATTAACTGAAAACAGGCTAGACTAATCGATTCTTGGGATTTAAGAATCGATATTGTTCCGTAAAAATGAGAATCGATTAATATAGATATTTTTTACCCAGCCCTAATTTAAAGGTCCCATATTGTCAAAACTGAAATTTCCTAGCTTTTTTCATGATAACTGAGGTCTAGGGGCTATGTAACTACCATATAAGTTTCAAAACAGTCAGTCCACAGTAAAATGCACACAGCCTGCATAAAGTAGCTGTGATTTTTCACGAACTG